CCCCCCCCCACTCCCCACCCCACCCCATATCACAACTCCCTCCCAGACCGTGCATCCCTCCTGCAAGCCAGGATTATCTCTAGCATCCCGCTTTCCTACCCTAAGCTCCCTTCTGCACCTAACCTCTGTCCCAGAACCCCTCCATAGAAAACCGCAGCCCTGACAACTTGCCAAAATCTTGCAACGTCTACCCCCATCAAAAATTATCCACCCCAGCACAGAATGTTGTCTGAGCAAAACCTATATAATATTTTTATAGTTCTCATACCATAGCTTCCCTTTTAAAATGTTTCAAACTTCTGGAGGGATGCCCTTTGAAGCTGTGGTATCATCAAAAGTAATTTGTACTTTCATTTCACCTTGGTCTTTTCCCACCATGATATCCCTACTCTGCAGTGTACCTGTATTTGATATATCTATAAAATGTTTGCTGCTTGTCCAGTTTAACAACACTAGCCATAGCATGATGTATTTGGGCAGTGAGGTCCAGGAGTTGCTTGCACTTGTTCAGGTATATTCATGTGCTGTTTGGCCAAGTAGTTGTTTACTGGTCTTCTGTATTTTAAAAAGTTGACTGAGTTTGGGTAATGTTTTTCTATATATATATGGTTACTCCTAGCTCTATCTAAGTAATAACTTTCTTTTCTCTCAACCTGCTTTAGGTATTATATTTAGGTATGTGGCAGAACAAAACAAAAATGTCTGCCATATTTGATTAAGCATTAACTTATTGTGACTCTGCCACTCCCTGTTATCAGCACTAACTTAACTTGGAAAAATCTGTGGGAGTAGCCTAGAAGCACAATGTAGAGAGAAGCACAATTATGGCTCCTCACCCCTATTCGCAGAGCAGCGGGTGATGTTGTGAATGGTTTTCTGCTTAGTGTCCCTATCTGGTTCCCTTGATTTGCACTTATCACTCCCATTTTCATCATTTGCTGCTCTCTGCTTCAGTTAATTCATTGTCTCTGGCGCCCTTCCCCCATTAGGGTGAGTGTCTTTTGTTCTATTGTGATCTTCCATACTCCCTTCAAATAGGATTTCAGATAGGACAGCTCTAGTCATGAATAAAAAACTAGAGCTGCCTTTTTGTTTTTGTTTTTGTTTTGAGGGGGAGAAAAGGTGTGCATTCATGTTTGCATTTGCTTTCTCTGATAATGAAAAGGTATTTGGCTCAGGCTGACTTGTATTATATTAATTTAATTGGAATATATGGATCAAGAGTTGACTATTTACATGACCCTGTAAAGTTTTAAACAAGGTTCAGGTTTGGTATAGAGACCTCAGAGACCAGGGCTCAAACACTATTAAAAATCTCTGTGATTAAAGATAAATAAAAGAAGGAAAAAAGTTAAAAGCATGTGAAATGCAAGACACATTAAGTAAGGCTTTCATTGCAACCATAACTCTTTTCTCCTTTCCTTTTTAGTTTTTAGGAAACCCTACTGTTTGATCACTTCTTAGGTGGTATTAAATAGGGTGTTAACTTCTGGGGGAAAAAAAGATAGTTAATTGAGATGGACCGGAACAGTTGTTGCTGTTAAAGTCCAATCCTATTTTTAAGAAGACAAAATAAAACAAACTTGCATAAGAGGGGAGAGAGAAACAGTAAAAATGGAAAATGCAGCTTCTATCTCTGCTGTTGACTCTGACTTGCAGCTTCACTAATAGAAAAAGAAAGGCACAAAGCACCATTTTATTAGCCTCTCTGAGACTTGGCAAATTTCTGCCTGCAGGGGGGAGTACAGAACGTTGCTTTTAACTGCCTCTTACAGGCTCATAGCACTATTGTAAAATATGTAGTCTTGGCCTGATAAGCCAGACTATTATTATACAGAAGGCGAAAGGAAGCTGGATAGGAAAAGAACTTGGAAGGGCCAGGAGGTGTGACACAGTCTCATGGCCCAGTAGTTGGGATTCAGTCAGAGCCAATGGAGATGGTGATGTGATGTGGGTGTCCTTTTTTGGGGGGTGGAGGGAAGAGGGAGGGTTGAATCTGTTCAGGATACCTCTTTCACACAGCTGATGAAAGCCCAATGGTGTGTCAGTGGATCCCTGACTCCTAGGAGGGGATGGACGGCAGCAGTTGCTGACAGGCAGCTTCTTTTAATTTTCCACCAAAAGCTGCCGTAAAAAAACACCCCATTAATGAGCTTATCCCCTCATTATTTTGTCCATCAATACATCTAATTTTGGACACACTAATCCTGGGTTCATTGATTTCCAATCTCTTGTTTACCAGCCATAAACTTATTGCAGTTCTTGAGTTACAGTAGTAGGCCTTCTTATGTAGAATAAATTAGTGAGTCTCGCCTTTTCTCACCAACATTTATTATTTTAATACGTAATTGAAATACTCTGTATATTTCTATTCGGTTTCCCACTGGTAGGTTCACAAATCAGATAAATTCATAAGCCTAATTATTATGACACCACCTACCTGATAAAAGGTCTAGTTTACAGGAGAGAAGGTTTCCAAAGGATTACTGGCAGAACACTCCAAACTTTCAAAAGGTGACATCTGATTTGTCCTCTCAGGGAAATTCCACTAGATAGAAGGATTTCAAGTTCCCTGAATTTGCTATTACAGATTAGTTAATCCTCTCCGGAGTATCCACGGCTATTGTTTTAATAATGCCCTGTTCGATGTTTTTAAAACATGAGAAAAGACATCTCTTACCTGAAAAGTTTCCACTCTAAATGATAAACTCCAAAAAATGTTAATTTTATAAACTACATATAGCTTACAGTGAAAGGATCATGGTACAAATGACTGAGAAAATATAGGTTGAGGAAGCAGTAAAGGAGGGAAAGGATTTATAGGTCCAGAGAGATTGTTTTGATGGAAAGGGAATGGAGGAGGAGGAGGAACTATTGGGGTGGCAGACAGATTAGAGTTAGACAAGGGTGTAGCCCTGAATGTAAGTAATAAAGGACAGATGGGACAGAGGGGAAGAGGTCAGCACAGAGAAAACTGAAGAGTGAATGAGGTCACTTGGAGCACGTCTACACTGCAGCATTATTTCGAAATAACGGCAGTTATTTTGAATAGTGTGCGTCTACACAGCAAGCCATTATTTTGAAATAATTTTAAGATGGAGGACTTATTACTCTGACTCCTGTAACCTTCATTTCGCGAGGAACAAGGGAAGTCAAAGGAAGAGTGTTCTTCCTTCGACTTCCTGTTGTGTAGACAGCGCCAAAAGCCGAATTAAGCTATTTTGACTTCAGCTACATAATTGAAGTTATGTATCTT